ATATATATATATATATATATATATATATGTGTGTATGTACATATATTAATTTATTTTCCTTTAATTCAAACCTGTAGGCTCGATGGTTGGAGGAAAAGGTCATACGACAAGATCAAATCAAAGCAATTCAAGAGTCTATAGCCGGATTTTTTAATGACCAGGTCATCGATTCCAAGGGCGAGTTCTACTTCGACACAACACTGCCATGGAAGCCAAGCTAGAGGATGAGGAAACTCGTTATATCACAACAACTGTAATGCAATCTTTTGTAATATATGCACATAAAATAATATAATGTAAAATACACATATGCATGCATGCATGTAAATATATATATGATGCATGCATGCATATATATATATATATATATATATATATATATATATTTCTATGCTTGAATTGTTTGACTTAATACGTTTATTGTGCTTGAACCGAAACATACTATACACGCGTATAAATGTATTATTTGCAGCGTACAATACGACTTCGAAAACCTATTTTGAAAAGAAAACAAAAAAATGAAAAGAAAAAAAAACTTTAGTCCCGGTTCGTATTATCAACCGGGACTAAAGGGTGCCGGCCACGTGGCATGTCAGGAGGCACCTTTAGTCCCGGTTAGTGTTACCCACCGGGACTAAAGGTCCCCTTTAGTCTCGGCTCCTGACCCGGGACTAAAGGACCCCTTTAGTCCTGGATGCTTGCTCCCGGGTGGGGAACCGGAACTATAGGGGGTTCCCCACCAGGAGTAAAGGCCGTCTCTAAACCAGGTAAGCTACACCCCACAACAAATACCGTTAGTAATATATTAATGGTCTCAATTATGCTTGCACCATCTCAAACTCTTGATGTCTACTGCAGGGGATACATGGCACCAGAATACATAGACAGGGGTGTAATCTCAAAGAAAGCAGATATATTCAGTTTGGGTGTCATAATTATAGAGATACTCAAAGGCTGCAAGGACGACTATCCAGACTATGGCCAAAGCACCGAAGTTTTCCAGCACTTCACAGAGAAAGTAATAAGATGAAGTAACGAATCTTCTGCATGTGTACTATCGCTCTAGCTCACTTATTATATATGCAATTGTGTAGGTGCTCAGTAATTGGAGGAACAGATTCGAAAGATCATCGAAGTATACATCGCCAGAACTACATACCCAACAAGTAAAACAATGCATCAACATAGCTTTGGTATGTGTGCACCCTGAGAAGGAGAAAAGGCCAAATGTATCAAATATAATTGAAATTCTTAATGCAGCAGAAGGAAGTTGTGTTCAAAATGGTGAAGATTTACTGGTAGATCACCAGGTATGATACTCTCTCCATCTCCAAATAAATCAATTCCAAGAATCCGTTCAAGTTAAACTATCTTAAGTTTGACTAAACTTTATAGCAGAGAGTAACATCTATGAAATAAATGAGTATATTATAAAAATATATTCTATGCTACATCTAGTGATAATAATTTGAAAATATATTCTATGGTATATCTAGTGATAATAATTTGATGTGATAAATCTTGACAGTTTTTTTTTAGAAATTCGGTCAAAGTTTAAAATTTTTGACTTAAGACAACTCTAGGAATCTGTTTATTTAGGAACAGAGGGAGTATCTTATATCCCATTGAGTATGCGGCCCTTTCTGCACTTTATTGCAATATTAAAGGTGAAAAGTGTCCTACAATTTTGGAATATGCTATTTTTTGGGTATAGTCATGACATGTGCCTTAGTTCTTTTTTTCTTAATAAAAATCACTTGATATGCATGTAATGAATGATATGTTTCTTTAGTGAAAACCGAAAGATAATGTGTGGGAAATATCCATAAATAACATTTCATTTTCATTATTTTTTAGTTATAGATGCAAATGTGGAAGCTCAACTATTTCTTGAGATACCAATCAACATGAAGGTTAACTTTTTAAGAAAAAATTCACTTGATATGCTTGTAATGAATGATATGTTTCTTTAGTGAAACCCGACAGATAATGTGTGGGAAATATCCACAAATAACATTTCATTTTCATTGTTTTTTAGTTATAGATGCAAACCGGCAGCTCAACTATTTCTTAAGATACCAATCACATGAAGGTTAACTTTCTAAGAAAAAAATAAGAACCTTAATACCACCAGGCTCACTTTGTAAGATGAAGAGAAAAACAATCCTATTTTATTCTTATCATCTTACACTATAGACTTCTAGGATGAACATTAAATCGTACAGCATAATAATGGCAAATTATTGTTCCCGCTGGTTACACTACTAGATTAATATAAGCCTCACCTTATTATTCTAGGCTTCCTTAGGGTAATCAAGTATATTGATGTTATCTAGGTGGTTTCATTGAGTATCATGTAACGTTAGAATATAATATCCCTAGTTATGTGTAATAGCCCTTGGGTCTTTGAAAAGGATATATTGTGAGTATGGCATAGGCATGCACTGTATTAAGAAAAACATAAACGAATCTAGTAGAAAACCCTAAATCGACTTCAAATTCTATAAGCACAACTCCAAAAGACTACAAGCGGTTTGACACACTTTAGGACACACTGATTCTTGCCCTTTATAAGAATCTAGTGCAATAAAATTGTCTAGCCTAATCCTCTTGAGTGCTCTTAATTGCTTCTTACAAGCATTGGATGGAACTCTTATGTTGGCTTGGTTGATACCTATGGCACCTTGTTTATATAGTCTCTTCCAAAGCTCTCAGACATGCAAGTAGGAGACACTCAAGTCATAATAGAATTACAACCCTAATAGCACACCTCTCTTGAGTCCCAGTCCAAGTAGAATTTGAATCATCATACAACACATAATATGAAGATGACTTAGTAGGCAAGCCATACAATGGGTTGTCTCTTAAGTTCAATTGTAAAACAACTGCATATTTCTCTCCTGTTCATCTCTATCCTTCATATTATTTAAAATTCTATGTAGCACAGCATGAAACAAGCTATGATATTGATGACGTGTATCAACGCAATTTCCTTTAAAAGTGAAACCACATCAAGTACCTCCTAGAAACAAGCGTAATACCCCCTCCATTCATAAATGTACATAATTTTAGCATTTAAAATTTGACTAAAATTTAAGCAATCCTGCTATTATCCACCCATCCCTTCTCATCATTAATTAGCATATCTTTTAATTACTACTACGGTGTAATTTGGATATTTTAATTTTAATTTGTGTATGCAAATTATAACATCCCGATAGAAAATGTAGTGGTAATTATGACTTAAATAATATTATGGTACTCTTACTTCCTTTATATGATAGGATTTGAAAATACCAATCGTTTGTTTTTTGCCTATGGGTTTAATTTTTTTTAGCATAGTATTGATAGTATCTATTACCACTCAAAAAACGCGACGAGGTTTCGTCCATAGAGGTACATCGTGTACGCGCCCGTCCCCAATAAAAAAATGTATCTATTATACGGCAAAAAACGTTTCCGAAATAAAAACATATACCGCAAAAAAAACCACCGTAAAAAACCACCGTTCCCTTTTTGCGTTTCTAATATACATTTATATGGCAAAAAAAAGACTCCAAAATAAAAACATATATGGCAAAAAAACCACCGTAAAAAAACATGTCCACGTTTGGAAAAAAATATCCTATATAGCAAAAAAAAGTTTCCGAAAAAAAGACATATACGGAAAAAAATGTTGTTTCCGAAACAAACTCTTCCACATCGAAAATCATATAAAGAACTGATTACAAGCTGATGAAACAAATCAGGCACATATTCAAACAGAGGAATTCGGCAAGGGCTTTGCTGATGACAACAAAAAGATCATGCACATATTCATACACAGGAAATCTTTGTTGTCACCGACGAAACAGATCATGCACATATTCATGCACAGACAAATGAGAGGAATAAACTCTCTCTGTGCGAAAATAAATTAATCTCGTAAAATCAAATAAAATTGTTTTAATAAGATAAAAGAAATTTATCTAAAGTAGACATATGCAAATAACAATTCCCACAAATTCACCTTAGATAGCTGTGGTGAACACGGTGTTGCACTATAAAATGGATTTAATCGATTTCAAGTGATCATGTCAAGATCACTATTCATACTTCACTCGACACGTAGTCGTGTTCTACCCGGTTCTGATACGAAGACCAAATCTATGTGTCCGCGTCCGATACGAAGTCTTCAAACCTCACGCGTTCACATTCTGACCCGATTCTATTACAAAGTCAAAATCTATGTATTCGCATCCAATACAAAGTCCTCGTAGCTCACAATTCGTGCAATGCAAGGGCATTTATCTAGTATTGTAATAAAAAGAGTAAAGTCTGATTTCCCCACTAAAATTGACATCGAATTTAAAAAACAACCTCAAACTAAATACCAGACAGCATCTCCCCTTAATTTTCAAAACCGGACAAATCATAACCCCTAAAATAGTTTATAGTGGTTTCAATGTTGGTATTAGTTGATATATCACATATGTGACATGTGGGCCGCACATGTATTTAGTTTTTTAACCATGTCGTTTTTTATTAAACATTTGGACACTCCTAAATGATCTCAAATGTTGAGCACTACAAATTAGGGATAGAGCAACTAAAAAAATGGGCAAAATAAAAAATGTTCATAATTAGAGAGCTAAAACACTAAAGAAACCACTTTGCAATAGTCAAGGGGTATTTTGTCCGGTTTTAAAAGTTAAGATATGTATTTATCTGACATTGAAGTTTAATTAAGGTGGTCTTTCAAATTCAGTACTAGTTTAGGGGTGAATCGGACTTTACTCTAAAAAAAGTGGCGGACATAATATTACTTGACTTTCGAAATCCCCATACACATATATAGTATGCCGCCTTAGAAAAAGAAACACAGGAAGTATATTTCTGTAGCCTTTAATATCTGTGACAAGCTAAGGTGCAGTCAGTCTAACTGTTTCTTGCATACTTATTCATAGATTGGAGCCCAGGAAGGGGTACTGCAACCGGATGTGCAGCGTGAGGACGGCTTGATGGATCACCGACCAGCGTGGATCACAAAAGGCATAATGAAATCAGAAGCTGCACCACTCCAACCACAACGCGAGCCACTTTTGGAAAGTGTGGATGGTTCGCTTTGTTATCAAGGGTCACGAAATGCATCATTTTGGGTGGCGCACAAGGCGTTGGCTTCCTTGGAGGACAACGTGCTCAAGGACTGGGCAGCCACCATCAACCTTGGCCCGGGCGTCACGGCCCTCCAGCTAGAGCTGCTATCTGTCAAGGCAATTCTTGAGTCCACCCTCGGCAAGGTAATACACAACTCAGCACTTGAGCACTGTCTAATGATGCTTCAAGACCTCGTATATGACGCTGAGGATGTGGTGGATGAGATGGAATACTTTCACATCCAAGACATGCTGGATGCCCACAACCTGGACCCTAATGTGTTGCCATCTATTCATTATGAACCACCAAAGTTGAGATTTGATAGGGACAATGCCTCCCGAAGAATAGAACATATTGTAGAGCAAATGCAGCTCATTGAAAAGAAGTTCTCTAGTGCTATTAAACTATTAGGTTCTGACTGGAGCACTGCCCCAAACATTGCATAAAGTCGCCCCATCACCATCTCTGAAAGTATAGAGCCAAAACTGTATGGGAGGGAGCATATGGTGAAGAGCATCATAGATGATATCACAAAGGGTAAACATTCTGGTGAGGTCCTCACAGTTATTCCAATTATTGGTCCAGGGGGCATAGGAAAGACAACTGTTGCACAACATATATATCACAGTGGAGAGGTGCAAAAACATTTTGATGTAAAAGTTTGGACATGTGTCTCACTCAACTTTAATGTGAATAAGCTGATAGAAGAGATTCAAAGATATATCCCTAAAGATGGTCATGAAAGCTCTAATGGTGCTGCTAGTGAGTTGATTGGGCAAAGATTGAAAAATATGAGGTTTGTGCTTGTATTAGATGATATATGGGACTGCAGTGATGAGGATGAATGGAAACGGCTGCTGGTGCCATTCCGAAAATCACAAGTACTGGGTAATATAATTATAGTCACAACTCGATTTCCAGCACAAGCACACATAATGGTTCGCAAAAATGATCATTCAATATATTTGCAAGGTCTAGATAGTGAACCATTTGAGGAATTACTCCTACATATTATCTTTGGTGATGATGATCAATCTAGAAAGGACCATATATTCGTGCTTGAAATTGGGTTTAAGATAGCTGGTAGACTAAAGGGCTCCCCTCTTGCAGCAAAAGCTGTTGGTAGATTGTTGAAAACCCAACTTGACTTGGTTCACTGGACTAGAGTCTTAGAAAGTAAGCAATGGGAGCATAGCAACGGTAAGAATGACATTATGCCTGCACTGAAGTTGAGCTTTGATTACTTACGTCCTCAGCTTCAGCAGTGTTTCTCCTACTGTGCTTTGTTTCCTCAAGATTACAGATTTGAAAGAGAAGAGCTAATTAACTTCTGGATAGGACAAGAAGCTTTGCATTATTCACCACATGGTGGAAGTAAAAGAGTTGAAGATATCGGGCTAAGTCATTTGACTGAGTTGGTTAATTATGGATTTTTGGAAGATGAAGGGGAAAAGGATGGAAGAACTTGTTACATCATTCATGATCTCTTACATGAATTAGCACGAAAAGTTTCATCACTTGAATGCCTTTTCATACATACTCAATCTCAAGTGAACTCCTTACAAATCCCGACATCAATCCGCCACTTGTCTATCAACATAGATGATACCAGTGTCAACAATAGATTGACTCAAAAAAATTGTGTGGAGGATATCAATACATTGCACACAAGATTAAAAGTTGAAAAACTGCAAACTTTGATGATATTTGGGATACACCACGGTTGCTTTGTGAAGGCTTTTGGTGATTTATTTAGGGAAGCAAAGGCCCTTCGTGTTATTTTTCTATCAAAAGCATCCTATGATGTGGAATATTTGTTGTGCAACTTTTATAGTCTGCTCCATCTTCGCTACCTTCGAATTGAAAGATCTCCTCTATATAAAGGCAGATTTCCCAACCAAATTTCTAGATTTTATCACATGATGGTCCTAGATGCAAAACACTGTGACATCATAGATCTACCAAGAGATGTCAGCAACCTTGTAAAATTGCGCCATCTTCTTGTTCAAGATGATACAATACAATCTAGCATCACTGAGGTTGGGAACTAAAATCATTACAAGAGTTGCGAAGATTTATGGTCGAACAAGATGATCAAGGTTTTGAATTAAGGCAGATAGGACATTTGGAAGAGCTCTGTGGATCACTGTGCATTGATAGTCTTGAAAATGTTCAGGTACCAGAAGAAGCAGATGAAGCAAAATTGATGCTAAAAAGCCACCTACATGAGTTGATACTACGTTGGAATGTTAATTGGTTTACTGATGATTCTGCACTCGAAAAACATGTTCTTGAAAGGCTTAAGCCAAGTCGAGATCTTCAGAAGTTATCCATTATAGGGCACAGAGGAGGCACTTGCCCTTCATGGCTGGGTTTGAACCTCTCACTCGGTAGTCTGAAATCTCTTTGTCTCGATGATGTAAACTGGAAAACATTTCCACCTATAGGAGATTTGTGGTTAGTAGATGTGCCCCGTGAGGAAATCTCAATCAATATCCCTGGGAAGAAGTTTGGAAATTTGAGAAGGCTGGAACTTATACACTTGTCAGGGTTGAAAACATGGGCTGTACATGCCCCCTGTCAATTGTTTCCTTATTTGGAAGTGCTTATCATTAGGGATTGCTCTCAACTTGTGGAATTGTCGTTTTCCCATTCTGCTGGTTGTTGTCAACAAGGGAAAGATGCAAATGACAATTTATTTCCTAGACTGAAGGAGCTCTAGATTAAGAGATGTCCACAACTATTGTCATTTGCACCCATTCCTTGGACTGAAGCTCCGTGCTACATTAAAATAACAGGAATTTCATCTCTTGATAAATTGGTTTATGGAAACGAAAAGAGTTATTTGACCATTGAGGGAAATAATAAGGATACAAATGATAGCACGGTTTGGGATGTGCTAGCTTTTCATAATCTAACTGGACTGGAGGACTTGTGCCTGTACCGGTGCCAATCTCTGCCACTGCATTACTTACAAATGCTATCATCCCTAAGGACCCTACGTAACAGGGCTGGCTGTGAATGTGAGGGGACAGCACGCAACAGAGACGCCCGGAACAACAACTTCAGCTAACAAAGAGGATCAGCAGCAGGATGCAGGAGCAAATGTCGACGTAATAGTCGCATCAGAAGAAGCAGAACATGGCCTATTGATTTTGCCTCCCCAACTGCAGGACCTGAAGATCCATGGCAGCCCAAAGCTGCGACTCCTTGGCTCCAATCCACATGACGACAGCAACAAAGATGGACGAACTGGGCAAGGAGGAGGGCTCTGGGGTCTAAGCTTCCTCTGAAGGCTGGAAATCGAGGATTGCCCCGAGCTCCTGTCCTCATACTCGTCCTCATCCTTTTCTTCTTCTTTCCCCTTGCCCAACTCCCTGGAACACCTTAGTATTTCAGGAGCGATGGGCACGGGGGCTCAACTGCCTCTATCAAACCTCACTGCTCTCACAAGTTTGGATATATACCGATGTGGGGATTTAAGAGGCGAGGGATTGTAGTCTCTCCTCACCCAAGGCCATCTCAACGAATTATCTGTTCAAGGAAAGCCCAATTTTTTTGTTGATTCCGAACAGGATATTCCATCCTGTTCCTCAAAACTGCAGAGGCTCGACATAGATGATGTGACTGGATTCACTGCTGCGGCCATTCGTCATAGACTGCTCTTTTCCTCGCTCACCATATTTATTTGTACGGATCTCAAGGTGAAGAGCTTCACAGAGGAGCAAGAGGCCCTTCTGTTTGTCGACTCCCTCGAGGGTATCAAATTTATTTGCTGCCACAACCTTCAGTCCCTCCCTGAACGGCTACCTAGACATCCCAACCTCAAGAGGTTACACATCTTGACGTGCGGAGCAATCCAGATGCTGCCCAAGGAGGGCCTCCCAAGTTCACTGCAAGAGTTGGATATCATAGACTGTCCAAAAATCCAGTCACTGCCCAAGGTGGATGACCTTCCATGCTCCCTGCGATATTTAAATGTCCGTGACAGCGGAAGCGAGGAGCTAAGGAGACAGTGCCGCAAGTTGATAAATATCATTCCAATAGTCCAAGTCTGACAAACCCAAGGTAACAAAGAGGTGGAACTTCCCACCCATCAATTTCCCTTGCTTCTCCCTAACCCCATAAACCTCTGTCATTCTTGTTTCGTTTATTTGGCCACAATTGATGTTTTCTTCTAGGTAATCCGCTTGTTTCCATCTGCTGTGCAGGGCATTTCTTCATATTGTGTATTATTGTCCTCTGGATTCTCTCTCTATCTATTCACAATTTTCAATTATAATAATCTCTGCACATGCCTTCCACCCTATACATCAAACTGGTAAGTGCCTGTGAAACCACCTCTGTAGTCTCATACTGTCATACAGCTATTTACATGTTCAGAATGTTGCTTATTTGATGCTTGACCCAGTTATTTATGCACTTATTAATGCCTTTTGTTTTGTGTGTAACAATAACCTATATACGTTCTCGATCAGGTGAATATGTTTAATGTACTCCTGCCTTGCAGTTCTCAATCTCAGAAGATTTATTGAAATACGGATGCTGCTGTATGTTTTTTTTTTCTAATCAATGGTCTGCACTCTTATGAAAGCCTGTTCAGCAATAAATGGTTTCAGCCTTCCCATGTCTCTTGGATCTGAGAAAATATGATTGCTCTACTTCTAGTCTTCTAGGCAAGGTAATAACCACATTTCATAAAGTATGCTCTGTTTACGTTGAACATAATTGTATATACTCATTCCCCTGCAATCCAATAATGCATAATAGTGCAACCCTCTTGTTTTCATCTACTGTGCAGGGCACTTCTTCATATTGTCCATTATTCTATCCTTCGGATTCTCTCTTTATATATTTACAATTCTGAATTCTAAAGAATGAATACCTCTGCACGTGCCTCCCACCCTTTACATACTCAGAATGTTTGCTTACTTGCTGATTTGATGCTTGTTCGATTATTTATGCACTTTTCCGTTATTAATGCCTTCTATTTTTTGTGTAACAATAACCGTATATATGTTTTCGATCAAGTGAATATGTTTAATATACTCCAGCCTTGTTGTTTCAATCTCAGAAGATTTACTGAAATATGGATGCTGTGTATGATTTTTCTAGTCAAACAGTTTGCACTCTTAGGAAAGCAAGTTCAGCAGTAAATGGTTTCAGTCCTCCCATGACAGCTGAAAATCATGCGACAATGCAAATTTTGTGCTCTTTGCTTTTCCCACATCTCAATGGCTATTGAAACCTCAGAGGTGGGCAGTGGAAAAAATATCTTTTGATCACTGAATTTACAAATAGCAGACACAATCCAGAAACCATAATATTTTTCTCAAATGTCAAACAAAAACTGGACACTTGTGAAACTTTGTCCATGAAAAACTGACATAATACTATTTTATTATGACAATATATTCTTAAAAATGATGGGTGAAACAGGTCGAAATGTTTTCCTGGATAGACGCTTCTGCTCTGCGCCTGGGTTGGTAGAGGATCCTCTGTTCTGGTGGAGCTGTGGTGGTCGGCAGAGGCAAAGATGGATGAGAAGCTTCCATGGTCTCCTGCGACATGTTAAGGTGTCGCTTTGGTGTCGAACAGGCGGAAGAAAATAGCATTGCTGCTGCCTACTGATGAGATCAAAATCAGTTTTGTATGCTGGCATGCTGCTTTTGGGTGTAATAAGGCCAAAAATCAGATAAATCTACAATCTAATTTCATTCATGCCAATTTGGTTTCTTCCACAGCTTTGGAGCCTTCTAGTGCCAGATGCATTCAACAACTTAACTGAAATGAGGCCACACCTGTGTCCAGATGCATCTGACTGATTCAACTAGAAGGAGGTCGGTCGGATTTGTGGCAAGATGCATTTCGAAGTGCTGATTGCCATACAGGAGTGATGCTTGGAGCCAAACATTTGCCAACCAAATTACCTTGTAATCAGGGATCATCAACCATTGAATTGTCATCACACGGCTCTGAGCTGTCAGCTAGCGAATGACAGGAGCCTTGCCTCTGTCTCTGTCACACCCCAGGTAGCACGCAACCCTGGTATGCTACCACACAACTCTAAGAGTTGTTGAACTCGTAGTTTTCGGCAACCTCTAAATAAAAGACAAACGCAAGCGGAAAAAAAACATGTAAATAAGAAGATACACGTGGTATAACAAGCAAACTATACAAGGGGAGGAGAGACGCAGGATTATTATGTCTAAAAATACAAAAGACAACATCTACTATCTTTATTATTTCATAATTCTACAATTATTATGTTATGATACAAGAGTGCAAGACGTGTTTTTAGTCCCATCCCCTTCATGCCAGCATTCATCATTAATCACCTGGAAGAGAACAAAGGGGGTGAGATAAACTCAACAAGCAGCGGCTATGAATATACACATATCTTACACGTGTTGAGTTATTAAATTTGAAAAGCCATATGAACGTCCATAATTATAAGGAAAGTAAACGGACAAATAAATTGTGCAGTTCATATTGTGGCGACTTTCAAACATTATCATTGGACTAGAGTACCACGTCATCATGGTATTGATATTCTCCAAAACATCAAGTATTTGATTAACAAGATTTAAACCGAAAAGGAACCATGTTAGGGGGCGATGAATAATTGAAGTACTCAACTTTCTTATGTCAACCATTAACCAACCACTCAGAGGATCAGTAATCTGCAATTCCATATTCTGCAAATGGCATAAAATGTATATATATGCCATGATGCAACTCCATTTGAGAGTTTAATGTTGGACAATGCCAACCTCTCATGCAACTCCATGTACCGGTGCTAGTCACTGCGCGATGGCGGTGACCGGCCATTAACTCCATATGAAATGCATATATATGCATATGAATGATCATGTATGCATAACTCCATAGTGCAACAATTATAATATAATAATCTGCAACCATCATCTCATAGCAACAAGCAGCATCGACATGATAAATAAATCCATAAACAATATATACATAAGCAAGAATAAAGGTAAACTATATTATTAGTCTTGTTGTATTTTATTTAAAAAGAATGCAAGACATGAATATAAGCATAGCATTAGCCACACCCCTACGTTACTTGCCTTTTTCACCGAAAAAAACAACCTCGACAAGCACGTCTAAGAGCGGTTATTTGGCGCACTTCCTGATAAAAAAATAAATATATGGATCTACTCAATAAATCATGCATAACATATTAAGAGTAAATACACGTCTCTATGCTTAGTCCATCACTCTCCACATTTTCTAATTGCAAAAGATACCCTTAAAAAGGAATTCACCTTGCAAGACAGTCAAATACAAAACTCAGAGCAGAACTTGCTATTTTCATAACTATTTCTATACAACAGCAAATGCAATGATCGAATGCAGTAAAAACATCTACTTAAAATTCCCTACAACTTTGTTATGCACCACAAAATCTAATTCGGCCTTCTTCTATTTGTAATCTGGGCCACAATGTTTTCACTCAGATCTGAAACAGTTTGCAACAGTAACTTCGAAAATCCACATGTTCTTAGATATTCAACTGCTACACTTCTGATATCGTAGATAAAGTAGTAGTCTACAGACCTCCGATTCAAACCTATGGTTCATCTAAAGAAGAAACAGAAAGAAGGAGATAAAAACGAAATTGATCTGATCTACTCAGTTAACCTAAACATGATCTCTGTTTATTCCTTTGTGGTGCCCAGACCCAAACCAGAGGCTACACGTGAGCAATAGAAGGGAAATCGACTTATCAATTACCTATAAAGCAAAATCGTCCTTCAAGCCACACTCATCCCTGGACTGCTACGTACCCTGCCCTTTGTCCTCCCTGCACACTACAACTCTGCAGATAACGAAGGAAGGACAGAGCCATGAGAAGCAGCAGCAGCCCCCTTTCTCTCTAGCGATTCGAAGAGGAAAAATCTCACGCGGCTGCAGGATGGCGTGCCCTAGCGACGGGGAGGACGAGATGGAGAGCGCCGCCTCCGGCCACTCGTGAAACCAGCAGGGAGACGGAGAGGTTACGGTAGAATTTCTATTTTTGTTTCCTAACCCCTTAACCTTCCTAACTGGACTCTAATTGGGCCTTTGCTTTCTCCTTCTCTAATCCCATTAGGCCCAAAGACAAATTAATTATTTTTTTACTGGATGTTACGTTACAGTCTCTCTCCCCCTCATGTAAGTCTTTTATTTCTCTTGTCTTGTGCCTATGCCTTATACCTTTTTCGTTCATGTGTGCCAAGTGAAACTGAATGGAATGATACACGAACATGGCAGCATGTTTATCTCATCAGTTTCATGATCGTCGATCCTGTCCCTGGGGCTGCGGCTGCGGTATCGGTGGCCGGCCGCTGGACCAAGCAGAGGGTCCTCTGCTCCGTCCCCTGCATTCAGCGATCGACATCGAGCATCTCCTCTGCGTGGGACCGCCGGCTCCCGGAGTCTCAGGGCACCCAAACCTCTGCGTGGGAAATTACACAAGCTGCAGGAGCTCAAAGACGCCTACTACATACTCAAGAGTCCTGGTTGGTTGACGCCCACGGAGCTTGACATGGAGGACAGGGACGACATCGACTGCACCGAGCAAGCTGCTGGGTCACGGTGGCAGCTGCTGGTAAACAGCGTGCTGGTGCCTGCGAAGGTCGTTTTGGATCGTCGTACGTACGTTGTGCATTGCAGCTGCAGACCTGCTGCCCTGGAGCACTGCTCGATCGTAGCCGTCTCCTGAGTCCTGACAGGTGGGTTAACAGTACACAGTAATGGAGTTGGAGGTTAGTTACGAAGAAAGAGGTCAGGTTAAGAAGTCGAATCTTTAGTCTTCAGGTCAATGTCAGAAATATATATAGACCCAAAATAATAGAAAAAGAAAGGTTAGCTTCTGAGCAAGCGAGAGAGCTGAAACCAAAGGATCAAATCAAAGAAGGGTTTGCTATTTTCCCTTCATCATTCTACACCGTGCACCCGACATCCTTGCTCACACTTTTGCAAAAGTAAATTTTGTTACTGACTCAGAAATTGTTCTATGAGACCTGCTACTGGAGTCAATGTAGTGCATGTT